AGGAGACTAGAAATTCTGTAACAATACTGTGGAAATACGTGTTTTCTTTGCAAGCTGCCTAACTCATTTGATTACATACATATAAAAGTAAGAAAAAGAAATAAACGTTTACTTTGTTCTTTTACTGTGGCATCTTTCATTTTCATATTTTCGTACCAGTTACTATTTTTTTGTGTTTCTGTGCGTATGTAGGTTTCAATTAGAGGTAACAAAGCAGATGATTTGACATTGATTTTTACTTTTCAGTACTACAGTTTTATCTAACTTTACTTCCACAGTACATTTTCCACGTCCCCACTTGTTAGAATGTTATGTAGTTTCCTTACAGCTTCATCGGGTCACTTGAGGTAGCATCATAACATAAGGTAAGTGATGCTAAACCACAGGCTGACTACATGTGTTGATTTATTCGCAGGTCCAGAGCACATATAGACTGAGAGTTCTGTTCCCATATATCAATCATAGTGAAAGGTTGTTTCGTTTTTTCATGGATAAATTATCTTACCTTATAAATGTGTTACCAAATACCAGTATGTGAACATTATTCCCTTTACGCAGGCAAACAATATTACACTCACACATCACAGGACTCATTTATACTTTAAATACTCATACCATGACCTCTTTCCAATGACCCATCCCTCCCCGTTTTCACACCGTGTTCTTCACTGGGTCAGCGTGCGGGTCATTCCAGGTTAGGTCATCGACCACCCGAGGAGCTTATAATTACTTAGAAAAACATACCACACTTTTGAGATCTCGCCCCAAGTATTTGATGTGATATGAGAAAGTTTGTTTTGCAGTGCTGTTACTACGGGCTGTATTTATTACAGTTGAAGATAATAAAGACAACAGCGTTAAGATAATAAAATTAAGATGCTGATAGTGATGATGATGATAACAATTAACCGATATCCAATAGATTAAGCTTTAAAACACAATGCCACTGCTTACTATCACAGATCATACGCGAATCAACCTCGGTCTGTCGATCCCATTGCGCAATATGTACTTTCTTCATCATAAATCTCACAAAGAACATGCCGAAGCGAATGAACATTCATGAATAAACATATATCCCTCGGTTCCCACGCGACTTAAAATCTTTAATTGCTTCTTATTTCTCTCTCCTCTGTTCCTCTCCTGATCTTTTGCTGAAGATTCCTTTATTCCGTGCTGCAGCCACCAGAGGAAGGTAGCGTCATCGGGTCACCTGAGGTCATACACAACCCGAGGAGTCTGAACTATGAGAGACAAACTTGCCATTGTTATTTCAAAAAAATCTTTCATCTTTATCTATTCATTCCTTTGTATTCAGCACTAAAATTGTTGTCAAGGTTACAGTTAATGTCAGTATTCTTCTTCGTCTTTATTTTCATCTTCATCTTCGTCTTTATTTTCATCTTCGTCTTCGTCTTTATTTTCATCTTCATCTTCGTCTTTATTTTCATCTTCGTCTTCGTCTTTATTTTCATCTTCGTCTTCGTCTTTATTTTCATCTTCATCTTCGTCTTTATTTTCATCTTCGTCTTTATTTCATCTTCATCTTTCGTCTTTATTTTCATCTTCGTCTTTATTTTCATCTTCGTCTTTATTTTCATCTTTCGTCTTTATTTTCATCTCTTCGTCTTTATTTTCATCTTCGTCTTATTTCATCTTCGTCTTTATTTTCATCTCGTCTTTATTTCATCTTCGTCTTTATTTCATCTCGTCTTTATTTTCATCTTCGTCTTTATTTTTCATCTTCATCTTCGTCTTTATTTTCATCTTTTTATCTATTCATTCCTTTGTATTCAGCACTAAAATTGTTGTCAAGGTTACAGTTAATGTCAGTATTCTTCTTCGTCTTTATTTTCATCTTCATCTTCGTCTTTATTTTCATCTTCGTCTTCGTCTTTATTTTCATCTTCATCTTCGTCTTTATTTTCATCTTCGTCTTCGTCTTTATTTTCATCTTCATCTTCGTCTTATTTTCATCTTCATCTTCGTCTTTATTTTCATCTTCATCTTCGTCTTTATATTTCATCTTCGTCTTCGTCTTTATTTTCATCTTCATCTTCGTCTTTATTTTCATCTTCATCTTCGTCTTTATTCAAATCTTCGTCTTCGTCTTTATTCAAATCTTCATCTTCGTCTTTATTTTCATCTTCATCTTCGTCTTTACGTTCATCTTCATCTTCGTCTTTATTTTCGTCTTTATTTTCGTCTTCATCTTCGTCTTTATTTTCATCTTCATCTTCGTCTTAATTTTCATCTTCATCTTCGTCTTTATTTTCATCTTCATCTTCGTCTTTATTTTCACCTTCATCTTCGTCTTTATTTTCATCTTAATCTTCGTCTTTATTTTCATCTTAATCTTCGTCTTCATTTTCATCTTCATCTTCGTCTTTATTTTCATCTTCATCTTCGTCTTTATTTTCATCTTCATCTTCATCTTCATCTTCATCTTCATCTTCATCTTCATCTTCATCTTCATCTTCATCTTCATCTTCATCTTCATCTTCATCTTCATCTTCATCTTCTTCATCTTCATCTTCATCTTCATCTTCATCTTCATCTTCATCTCATCTCATCTTCATCTTCATCTTCATCTTCATCTTATCTTCATCTTCATTATTCTTCATCTTCATCTCATCTCATCTATCTTCATCTTCAGCTTCGTCTTCATTAATACCATTATTATCATTGTCATCTTCACTATTTGTATTATCACTATCCTTACAATAACTATTGTTCATATTATCATTATTATTATTATTGTTAATATTATTATCATTTTTATTATTGTTATTAATAATATTATTATCGTTTTTATTATTATCTATTATTTATTATTATTATATTATTTATATTATTATTATATTATTATCTATTATTATTATTATTATTATTATTATTACTATTATTATTACTATTATTACTATTATTATTACTATTATTATTACTATTATTATTACTATTATTATTACTATTATTATTACTATTATTATTACTATTATTATTACTATTATTATTACTATTATTATTACTATTATTATTACTATTATTATTACTATTATTATTACTATTATATATATTATTATATTACACATTATATATATTATATTATTTTATCACCACCATTATTATATTATTATTATTATCATTAATTATTTTTACTATTATATCATTATTTTTTACTATTATTATCATTATTTTTTACTATTATTATCATTATTTTCTATTATTATTATCATTATTCTTTTATTATTATTATCATTATTTCTTATTGATATTATTATCATTATTTATTTTTTGTCATTATTGGCATTATTATTTTTGTCATTATTGGCATTATTATTTTTGTCATTATTGGCATTATTATTTTTCTATTATTGTATTATTGTTATTATCATTATTATTATACATTTTTATTATTGTTATTATTGTTATTATCATTGATTATTATATTTTTTTATTATTGTTATTATTGTTATTATCATTATTAATTATTATTAATTATTATTATTAATTATTATTATTATTATCATTATTGTTATTATTATTATTTATTATTATTATTATTTTATTATTATTATTATTATTATTATTATTATTATTACTATATATTATTATTACTATTATTATTATTATTGTTATTATTATCATTATTATCAATTATCATATATTATTATTGATTATATTATATTATTATTATATTAATATATCATCATTATTATGATTTATTATTATTATTATATTATTATTATATTATTATTAATTATTATTATTATTATCATTGTTATTATTATAATCATTATTATTATCATTATCATTATTATTAATAACAATTATCATTAATACTTTTATTATTATCATTATTAGTATTATTGATTATCATTAATACTATTATTACTATCATCATTATTATTAATGATTAACATTAATACTATTATTATTTTCATTAATAGTATTATTATCATTATTATTATTATTATTATCATTATTATTATTATTATCATTATTATTATTATTATCATTATTATTATTATTATCATTATTATTATTATTATCATTATTATTATTATTATCATTATTATTATTATTATCATTATTATTATTATTATCATTATTATTATTATTATCATTATTATTATTATTGATTATCATTAATACTATTATTATTATCATTATTATTATTATTTTATGATCATTATTATAAAAATCACAAGCACCATCATCATTAATACTATTATCATTATTGTTATGATTATCATTATAAAAATCACAAGCACCATCATCATTAATACTATCATTATTTTTATTATTGATTATCTTTAATACTATTATTATTATCATTATTATTATCGTTATTATTATTATGAAAATCACAAGCACCATCATCATTAATGCTGTTATTATTATTATTATCATCATTATTGTTGATTTTCTTATCATATTCGTATTCATATATATAGATACAATTATAACAATATGATTACTTTAGCAGTTGTTATTTTTATAACTGTCATTATCAATATACTGATTATGATTATTATTAGTATAAGCATATGCACAGTATTAAGAAATGTTATCATTATTGCTATTTTCATATTCATAATAATGATAATCATAATTTGCAAATACAATAATCATAATTACTTTTATCATTACTTACTGTCATAACAACCATTATCATTATATTGATGATTATTATCATATACATATATGCATTATAATCTTCATTGTCGTGCGTCGTATACGGTTACTATTTTAAGCTTTATGTAAATTTTTCCATAAACTCCTATACCCCAGCCCCCTTGGCCTCACCCCGCGCCCCGAGTGAGTCATCCCTTTGTCCCTGGGAGCCCTCGTAACCACAGTCCCTTCCCCGTCTTCCCCGTTCCCCTGAAAGCCCACAAAACCAGGAATACTAGCCTTATCCACGTCAGTAACAGCTTGAGTACCGTGCAGTGTGTGTTTTCGAAAATAGTGCTTCTTTTCTTAAAGTTTTATGCAAGATGAAGTTAAAGACTTTGATGAGGGGAGAGCTTGGTTCCTTGTGGCTGGAGAGCAAGACCTGTAATCAAGCCGTTGAGTCTTCTAGCGACCACGAGCCACCGCGACGGAAGGAGTATATCGCGGTGCCTTCGGAGGGCGACGAGCGGCTCGTTCCAACCGTTGCAGGGGAATCCCAGAGCGTCAAAAAGGAGTTGGAAGAATATGGTGACTTCGAAGAGCCTCGTCGTGGCGACCACGGAGGCCTCGCTGCTTACCCACCTCGAGGGGACTCGCAAACGAGTTTTGAAGAGCTCGAGTACCTGGAGGAGTCTCATCCCGGGGATCATAACCATCAGTACCAGGCTCGCGTCAAAGAACTGTTGCAACGCACTCAACTTCAACGGATGTCGCAGTTGTACCAACAAGCTAACGCGTGTTCAGTGCACGTACTAATGATTGTCTATGTCGATTTGTGAATACTGTTTTGCATGATTTATGATATTTGTGTATTCTCTGCTTCAGCTATGCAGATGGGCTTCGTACCGTATCCGTACCTCGGTCGGAACACCCGATATGTACGCCCGAGGCCCTCTCACGCCTATGTCTCCCCAGCCCAAGTCATCCACTCTACAGGCCAGCACCACAGACATCACCGAACACGGAGCTATCTAACATCTCTAGTGGATTCTACGATGATGAAGCGCTTGAAAACGAAAGGAGACATGTGGAAAACAGGGTCCAGCTGCCGCGGGATAGTCCAACGTATGGTTCTCTCCGCACCGACAACCTCCCGGTTTACCATGAAGAAAGCACAGAATGCGCCCCTCCCTTGGCATCAGCGGTTAAGCAAGAAGTCAGTCTCCCAATGGCATCGCCGGAGACCACGAGAGACTCGGCAGATTTCATAAATTCTCTAGTCGCGGGATCTCCCTGGCGGCCCGTTTCGAACAGCATCGGCGTCCGGGTGAAAGCGGAAGAGAGGGGCCCCGAGATCGGCCCGCTGCGGAGGACTCGGTCCACCAGATCCAAGAGAACGTCCGCCATTGCTGTGGACGAGCTAGACGAAGAATCCAAAGTCAGCGACAGTGGTTATTTCCCGAGGTAAGTTTCTAGACTATTTGACTCATTTTCTAGACTATTTGTCTTATTTTCTCATGTCACATTTTAAATGTCTTATTATAGACGTATGGCAAGTTTTCTACAAATGCTTCCAATTCTTTCCAGGTATTATGAGTGCGGCGCCTGCAACTTGCGAATGAGGTCCCACCAAGGGCTAAACAAGCATTTCTCTTCGCACGGCTCCAACTTGCCCAACCTGCCGGCTGTCTGCGCCATCTGCCGCGAGGCCCTTCCCAACGCCTTCGAACTTGACAACCACGTCCGAACGCACGACGATGCGGGGAAAGAGCTCATGCAGAGGCGGCGGGCGGAGAGGGGCGTCAGGAGGCGCCACGAGTGTCCTCACTGTGGGAAGTCCTTGGCCAAGCGAGACAGCCTGGTGGAACACATGAGGATACATACAGGAGAAAAGCCTTATACTTGCGAGCATTGTCAGGAGTCATTTCGATCTTGGTCGATGTACTGGGAGCACATTCGACGCCACAGAGGGATGAAGTACAAGTGCACCACGTGCAAGATGGAGTTCAAGGACCAGTTTTACCTGCAGATGCATAGCTGTAGTTTAAACGTCATGCTAAAAGGATGATATTTGCTGAACACTTGCAAATACGTGTAAAAAATATATTTTCCCGCTAAACATTTTAATTTTCTCAACCCAATGAACGTACAAACGAAATGTTAACAATGGTAAAATGTCCAATATACCCTTAAAGATAACAATTTGCATAAACAAACATACATGTAGTCACGCTGAAACATTTAGCCTGCGTTAGATATAAATATCTATTATTTAGACTAAATGAATAAGCGAATGAGGATAATGAAAGTATCAATCAACGACAGTTTATACTGGAAACTATTATGTATATCCTTCATGTAAAATTATTAACAAATATGCAACATACACACACATGTATATATAGTATATATATATATTAATATATAATTATATTATATATATATATATATTATATATATATTATAATATAATATAATATATATTATGTATATATTAATATAAATATATATATATATATATTATATATATATATTATGATATATTAATATATATTATATATATTATATTTATGTAATTATACATACATACATAATACATATATAATTATATATATATATATATATAAATATATATATATATATATATATATATATATATATACACACAGATATATATATATAT